ATGATTAAATTGGTAAATCTTTTCAAGTTGCAATCAAATGCAGGCACTCACTATGAATAATGTAAAGCAATTTCTATCACAACCGTATTTGGTATGCTTTTTCAAAGTGCTTGTGAAAGACAGTATTTTATAAATTAATTAGTATGGTTAAAAATTTAAAAATGGTAAAAAAATGTTTTTAACTCATTAAAATTACTTTTGAAAATTTCAATAATCAAAATAGGTTTAGAAATTCTAAATACAGATCTTCAAACTCCCCAAGTTCCAAGCCACATGACCCTGGACATGTCTCTGTTGGTAAATTCATGTATTTTTATTTATGTAAAGTCCAAACCAGAGCCACCATAATATAAACCCCATTTTAAAAAGTGGGGAGAAACAACTTAATGAAACTGTGTTTGACTTTAAAATGTACAATTGATTAAGCAAAAATTGATACAATAATAATACTCTACTTTAACAATTCAGCTCATCAACATTGGTTCTGAACATATAATCTTCACCCTCTAGTTCTTCCTGAAGTAAACAGATCGATGGCATCTCGGACCTCTCGTCTTCACCTTTATCGTCGGATGATCGCCTTCCCTGATAACAATGATTTCATTTCACAGTTCAGAAATGATACATATACATGTACTTTATTTGTTACCGTTGCTAAAGAGATACATAATCAAGAGGCAACTTTCAAACACTTTTTGTTCGATCACCATAACGATAACTTTCACACCATCGCAAGAGTTTATGGAGGAATACTTTCATCCTATTGTTTTTTGTGTTTTTTTGAAACAAAGAAACACTTTTCATTGGTACGGAGAACCTGAACTCAGGCTATCGAGAGTCCAATACATGGCCCACAAGAGAGCAAATCCTTCTTGTCTAAACTACCCACTAGACTAAGAGGATGCTTGCATCCTATAGTAAGTTCATAATTAATTCTATCACACAATGATGGTTTAGTGATCTTTGAACAAGGTATGGAGTCGAGTCACTGTTCAAATTAAATGMAAAGGTGATTCAATACGATGTGTTTGGAACACCAACTTGATATGGATGCCAGCCTTTCGGAGCATTTTTCTTACGTGATGACCTCGTGTAAGAAAAAAGGAAAGGTAAAGCATCAGTAGTTATTTATATGGGAGTGTGGGTGAATGTGTGTTGTGTGCGAGTGTAGGTCACTCGGGCATTTTGTCCGGTTTTCGTGTTTTGGCCTAGAATTGACTCTAGGAAAGAAGAGTGAGTCCGAGGGCTTTCGAAGAGCATGGTGGCAATTGTTCCTTGTTGGCTTTGTGCATATTATTCAAATAGGTCATCTAAGAACTATCGCGAATATAACGAGACATAACACGAGCAATGGAATGAAAAGCGTGTGCTAACCTTATGCAAGGTATAGAAGAAGTAGTGAAACCCATCGCCGAAAGTGCTACACTCAAATGACCAAGTAAACTCTGGAGCATTAAATAAAGGACGCCTGAAATGCGGCTGCAGAAGATACAGATCATATTAGTAACTAGTAACGTAAAAGTGGATTAGGATAATGAGTTTCAAGAATTTCATTCTAAAACCTGGCCGAATGTGATTGAGACAAAAATGCCATCTTTCTTCAAAACCCTATGAACACCTTCAAGCATTGCCATGACCTTGGCTCGTGTGGATGGTCGAGGATTCCATGGGTCGCCACTGTCCACGAACAACACATCCTTCAAATTACAAACAGAAGAGAACATGAAAATTAACAGTTAACACAACATAGGTAAATTCCGATATCTGGACATTAAAAGAAAGCACAACAAGTTGAGTAGTTACCATGGTTCCTTTCTCAATAACCATGTCAAAACACTCGTCACTAAAAGGCATGTCTAGCATGTCAGCTTCTAGCACCTTTATTTCTGATAAAAGAGGTGATAAGAGAGCAAACGAATAAGGTGAGAAAGGAAAGGAAACACTGTTTTTTATGTGAAGAAGATCACTTCCTTCTACCTATATCTCTTTATACATTGAGTTCTTCGGAAAACCATGAGTTACCATGCGAGTTTATATGCACTTTATCTCATAGGACAACTATTTGATACTACAACATTTAGCATTAAAGAGAAAAAACTCATAGAACATTTATCGACCACATGTAGAAGGATCAGTAATTGCATCACAACTTCGAATACCATAGCCTTTCATTTGACAAAATAGAAATTGATCTATAGCCACCGAGCCATAAGGCCCTTTTTAAACATAGATTTACCTGTGCAATTATCTTCAACTCATCTAATTTACAGTACTAGACCAAGTCCAAGGTATTTCTACCACATAATACTTAGTAATGATCTATATAAATGATAGTAGAATACTGTTCTTTGAGCCTTACACTTTATATTACATTTCAACCAATGAAGAGCAACTGAAATAAGTAAGAGAACTCACTGAAAGAGAACACATTCCACAAGGACCAACTTTTAAGCAAAACAGAATAAAAAGCTCAGTGCCCCACTACTCAAGAAAGTGAATTTCATTACAGAGAAAAAAAGAGAGAGAGACAAACTAAATCTAGCTTTTGATGACGTTTACGAGCTTACCTTTCATATTCTTCGAATGTAAACGCATCTGCATCTTCTCAACGGCAACAGCAGATAAATCAATGCATGTGATATCAGTGATTCCATCGTTGTATAATTCCTCAGAGAGCTTCGAATTCCCACTACCCAATTCCAATACCTACAATGATAACACTCAATCTCATCAGTCATCACTAACAAAGCAAGATCCAACGGTGAAAATGTATCCAGCTATCTGATAATGGCAGCCCAGTTAGAAAGCAGAAATAGTCAAAATATGCAGCAGACAGATAGAGAAAGTACTGAGGAATCGGGTTTGAGAAGAGGAAGTATGAGATGCCGAAAATGAGAGTAGTCCTTAAACCACTCGTAATGCTCTTCCTTAGAAAAACGCTCATCCCTGAAACATACCCATCAGGAACAAGCATCAGAAAATTTGCGAAAAGGAAAATGAGAGAAGAAGAACAATCAGAGAAAAAATTCAGTGGTAGAAATTGACCAGTAATTAGGATCAAGGTAAGCCAGAGCAGTTGCAGGAGCAACGCTTTCATCCTGCGCGCGTTTCGGTTTTTGGTCCGTACCCATATGATCGTTCTCAATTAATCCGCTCCTCTTCGATTGCAAATTGCAATCTTTCAATCGAGTGAATACGGGGATAGACAAACCCTAAACCCCTGATCTTCAATTGGGCCTCTCGCTGTTGGATGACCCAGTGAAGTTTAATGGGCTTTCAGTCCACAGAGAGAGAGAGATGATCAATTTCGCTTGATTTCATGGAGAAATCCTCTCTTTTGTAATGAACATTTCAACGAAGACGACAAGAAGTTGCCTTTAGTCCTACTCACATCTGTGAGACTCTGATATTTAAAGGTCTTCCTCATCGCCGGGACGTAACAATAAAAACCCAATACGAAAATCAACTAAAACGACAAAATTTAATTGACTATCAAAAGAATTGATCAAGACCCAATAGATTTCTTTCATTTTTCCTAGAAAAAGTGACGACCAAAATGAAATTTTTGATCTCCGAAAATACCCATCCTCCACTATCTCGTGTCCCAACTGTTGGATTTAAGCTAATGCCATCAAAATCGCAACTTTGATATATATATATACTTGTAAAAAATTACAGCCAAAGTAAGCAACTTTGTGGTTACAAAAGCACATTCAACAGTGTAGTCGTCCATGGAATCTGGACAGGAAAAAGGAACAGATGTTCTTCAGACAAAGGATTGGCAATATTACATTGAAAGAGATTAATACTCGGGTTGTATCACCCCTCAATATTCCAGTTGTTTGTCTCTCCAGATGGTAACTAGCAGAAAACTGATTACTCTTTCTTTAAGATTTTCAAAGAGAGGGTGTTGGAGATGCTGGAGGCTTCAAGTCCTCATACCTGGTTTGATCATAGGAAAAATGAGAAAAAAACATACCTGTTTAACATTTTGCCTTAATAACACACAGATTTCACTTAAATTTTTAGTGTTCTGCTTCAATCCACATGCCAAACAAAAACTACCTCTCAGCTGGTTTTTGTATGACAATATGCATCTTCTTTAAGGAAATCAACAAAGGCAGGTAAAAGAAATAGGAAGAAGCATACATGGTATAAGGTGACAATGGTTGCTTCTTTGGCTCGGGATTATGTGTTTCGCTCTTCGCGTTTTCTGCCTCTGGAATCTGCGAAGCTGGCTGAGGTGGACCGTTCACTAGAGATGTCGAGGAAAACGATAGGGTAGGTGCACTAGGAGATGGTGATGTAGGGGGCTTTAAGTCTTCATATCTGGAAGAAGTACCAGTTATATCAGTGGAAGTGCAAGATCATTCAGCAGGATCACAAACTAATGAAATCAGAATGACAAAAAATCTTGTCATCAACATAAGAACATGAAACTCTATATCTATCAGCATATTGCACAATGAAGTTCATTAATATAAGAGCCTTACGCAACATAAGGGGAGAGAGGTCTCGATACAGGAGCAGGTGGAGAATTTGCCTCAGAAATTTCAGCTGACACCTCTCCTGAACTTGTTTGAGCACTAGGTACCGACTCTGAGACTCCAACAACATTTAAATCTGTTTTAGCAACAGGTGCAGCTGGAGTCGGAGATGTCGGTGGTTTTAAATCCTCGTACCTGAAAGAAGACACGATGTAAGATAAATGCCAAGAACATTATATCATTTCACAGAATTACTTAATGGTCTTTGAAGAGTTCATGGACAGCATCAACAGATTTTTTCAGTTACAAACCAACCCTCGTATCATATATATGCTGCCAGTTCAAACTTCTTTTTTTTTTTTTTTTTCAAAACTATCTTATCAGCTGTTAATCTAGTCATCTGAGCAGAATGCATTAACATTTGCTCTGCACAGGGAGAAAAGAAATAAAGGGCAGCCTCTTCCATATTGTCTTACACGATATAGGGTGATGATGACTGTTTTTTCACATTTGCTTCAGCCGGTTCCTTCTCTTTGGAAATGCTCGACTGTTCCGATGAAACACTCTGAGGTGGTGGATCGATGATGCGTGCAGCACCATATTCCTAGCACAGGTAATTGTTCATTGTTGTATAAAATCCTGATAGATCCAGCAATTGTCTAATCTCATGAAGTATTTGAGAGATCATTGTGAATAGAAGACATTTTGGATTTACTATTTAGTTAATTATAAATCTGCAAACAAATAAAAGTGTAAGATCAATTTGGAAAAAAACCGACAAAATAAGGGCAGTCAATAAGAGACTAGGGTCAGTCAATGTCGGTTTTTAGAGCCATTCTAGTCTCAACCCTTTGGTGCCTCAACCATTATGGCAAAGAAATCAATTTTCCTGACGACAAAAAGCATTCTCTACCTATTTGGAAATCACATTTGCAGGTCAGGCACTATCAATTTCAATAAACAAAGATGAGATGCTGAATTGTGCGCAAGTTCCTCACAAAGGTGACAATCTGAGATGTGATTACGAGAAACATGAAATATATACGAATTAACTTGAAGAATAACTTTTAATAACTGATGAGCTGAGTTCGTTTTGAACTTTGAAGTTCAAGCAGATTTTAGCAATATACTTATGCAGATATGAAGCTGTTCTGTTGAAATTATTCTCTGCAGATATCATTTGCTGTTAAAATGAACGAGAGATATTGTATGAATTCTTGTGAGGTATTTCTTCCCCTTTTACATAGAGAAACAACTGACCTTCTCTGGAAATGCATTTGCAACTTTAGATGGTACTCCTTTTAGAAGATCTTCCAGGGGAGTCAATGGTGCAGTTGTCTCAGCAACTACTTCTACCACTTTATAGTACGAAAGATCGGGATTTTTCGCTATGCATGCCATGAGCTCTGCAACCTGAACTATACAGAAATTATCTTTTCTTTTTCTTTTTCATTTTTTTTCAATAGCAAACACAAGATTCTGAAACCTACTATAGATCCACAAGTTAAAAGAATAATAGGAATGAGAGCATCTGTCGCCTCAAAATGTATAAACATACCTGAAGGTTTGACACTAGACCACCAAATAAAGTATCTTCCGGTGAAAGAGTAGTATTATGAGTCTCCTTGAAAGCATCTGTAGGCCTCTCCATGCCTCCAGGTCTCACTATCTGGAAAAGATCACTTGAATAAATCAAACATCCAAGACTCTGTTTGATTACTATTTTATTTTTTATTTTCTATTTTTTAAAATTAAGCTCATACAATTACAAACTACTACGTTTTCCTGGTTTACTTTTTTACTTTTCAGAACACTTCCAGAATTTTTAAAAAAAGATTTTTTAGAACCATTTTTTTTGTTTGCAAAATGTGTCTAGGAATTCAAAAACCTTCTTGGAGTTAGATTACATAACAAAGAAAAATGTTAATAAACAACCATGAAAATGTTAATAAACAACCATGATCTTGTTCAGAAAGAAAACAACAAACAAAAACGTTATCAATTAGGTTTTAAGCTACCACAATTATATTCTGTATAGCACCTAGGATTTGCTTACTGTATAAGGAAGACCACTGGCAATCAATGCTTCTTCTGCCTTCCTCTTCCATAATAGGACTCCCCAAAACAAACTTTAGAAGCAGGTAACCACAGTTAATGATTCAAACATAAAATGATGAAGAAAATCATCATCTGCGTATAGCTGAACTGTAATAAACAACAAACTAGAAATTATCGTTTTGGAAAAAAATTAAAAAAAAAAAAAATAAACTTGAACACTCACTTAAGAATGGCAGCAGGAAATCCAATCTTGTTGGTTCCCAGGGATGTAAGCAGAACAAAGTGCTTGACTTTTGCAACAGTTGCTACATGTAGAAATTTTGTCAATATTATTTCCCTTTTAACCTCAAGGACTTTAAGAAGGCTACGAACAAGAGCTTTACTGCTAATGCATTGAAAACTAGGAGAGCTCCACCAACAAAACAATCAATCCTTATTAATAACAGTAGAAAAATAGAATCAAATCCAAGAATCACAAACTCTGGACATTTTCACCCATGTAATTGATGTGGAATAGCTAGAAATATTGTTTTTTTTTTTTTTTGAATTGAATTGAATTGTTATTAGTTATTAGTTATGATTATCTTAGACACCTCAGACTACTGTAATCTTTGGATATTTACCTACTATATTTAAGATTTATTTGATAAGATGTATTCACTTAGGTTTCTTATTTGGTTACATTTTGATTTGACCTCACTAAAAAGGCCCCTTCAATACTGATTTACTGTGATACTCAAACTTAGATATTGAATTGATTACCAAAATATTGTGTTTCTCCTTCAGTTCCCTATTTCAACCCACATTCTCTTATTTCCCTCTTTCCCCTCCATGTCCATAATTCTGTTCTCCCCTCTCTCATAGATCTCTTATGGGATTAAATTTGCTTGCATCCTGGAAGATATAAATCTAATGAGAACATAAACACTCCTATTCCAGATATATTTTAAAATATAGAATATGATGAACAGATCCCAATTTAGGGTCAAACAGATTACCCGAAAAGCACCTTCGTACCTGCTTCAACCAAGTTTTTGGTAGCCAGATAGTCAATTCGATATGGTCCGGTAATATCAAAAATCTCCTTCTCACTTGCACCAATGCAGCAAATAACTATTGATGCATTACCTATTGCAGGTCCAATCTGATCTGGTTTCTCCAAGTCACATACCACAGTTTCAAGCTTTTCTACAGCTGGGCTAAAGACCAAAATCTATCTGTTATTTTCTTGGAAGTTTTTTTTGTTCAAGAACATAAAATGTTCGTTTGAGAAAACAGATGCTTATAAATGTGTGTGGGTGCGGGGGTTGGGAGGGGGAGGAACTTTTGGCACTTGCATTACCTTCATCAAGCTTAATCTGTTTAACACTCTGCATGCAAATAAAATTTTATAAAAACAAGTTATTTCTTAATATGGTAGTAAAATGTTCTTATCAATAACCAAATGCTTTTACCTCGGCAAGAGTTTTTCCTTTCTGAGAACTCCTTACTCCAGCTCTTACACGGAATCCAAGTTTCAATAGCTCCCTGGTGAAGATCATTCACAACTTTTTAGCATATAGGATGCAGAATCAGCTGGAAAAATGAATTGAATGTAAAGCAAGAAATGAACTTACCTCACTGTTCTTGAACCAACTCTTCCAGTGGCACCAGCAACAAATACAAGATCTTCGTCTTTCAAATCTTCCTTCTTTGGAATTGCCGCAGCTGCCTCTAAGCTTAGATTGTTTGTGCCTTGTCAAAAAATCAAGTATTATTAGCTACATACTGTAAGGAAGAATTAATAAACCTTATCTACTCAGATGATCATTGCTATATACACCTTTTGTGATTTTCAAAATTGGCTCCTGGACTTTAAAAATCGAGCTCTAAACACCCCTATGCTATGTGAAATCTAAAACTCATAATCTTTTATTTAAAATGTCATAAGACTTTAACGAAATAAGTACATCTGCACTCATATAGACTAAATGTCAATTTCATTAAAACAAACTACGAAATTTAACTTAAAAAGTACTGCTTGAGATTTCCGAAAAATCAGGAGAACGTTTCGTTTAAAATATGGATACGATTTACATATTTCACAGACCAGATGAATATAATTGATCGCTATATTAAAAAACTATAATAAACCGCAAACCAGAAAATTAAGCAAGTAATAGGAACCAAGTTTTTTCTATCATTTTCAATATTTATATCCATTTCTTCTAGCATCTATTGCTGTCCACCAAACTAAGACAAAGAATCGTGTTTACAAGGCTAGTGGAGGACCTGGAGGTGACAAGAACATTTTGCAGTTGATCGATCATTCTGCTATCATCATGTGGCAATAAGCAAATATCAACCAGCAATCCGATTAAAGATTTATACACCCACTTCAAATGCCTCCCAGAAGAATTCAGAATTTGAGCAAATAAGATCCAGATGAACATGCATTGTTCAATCCTTTCTTAAAAACGGGATTTCCATATCCTTTTTGGATTCCTTTTCTTATCAGCCATTGTCAACAAAACCTATTCCTACTTCTACCCGAGAATCCCAACTCCAAACTCTCAAAACAAAAACAAACAAATCAAGTCCACAACGAGTTCAAAACAGTCAGTAAATTAAGGGCAACAATCAAAACACTTCACGTTTTAAGAAATCAAGCATAGAAGAAGCAATAAGAACATTAATCAAAATGCAGGAGAAGAAAAGGCTGCATACTCGAAGCTTGAGCTCTGACGTGAAGAAATTTGAGCCTTCCAGCAAATGGGTATGTTTTCTTATTAGATAATTTCAGCGCTTGACCTTGCAGCAATGGCTTATCGATGAACCCACTTCTAGATAAAGAGGAGGGCACTGTGGTTAAAGCCGGTGATCTTAGAGAACTACAGGTACCCTCCATTGTAGAGAACTCTTGTCCTGTACAGAAATTTCAAAAATCTCAAATCATAGACTAATTTGGAGCAGATTTAGCAGTTGAATATGGCGCTAATTTATGAATTTTGTTTTGTAAGAAAGGAGGAGAAGTTACAAGTTTTTCTTCGGGTTGGCGGTAATGGCTTCCTCCACAGCATGTGGATATGATGGGTCCCAGAGAAGGTTCCATTTCTGGTCTGTGAAGACTGCAAGCACCCATTTGGATTTTCATCTATCCCCAACTCAAAAGCAGAGCCAGCGAGAATTTTGTTGTCAATAATATAAAAATGTCATTTTTGGCTAAATTATTCGAAAGTCTCGTGAACTGTTAAATTATACCTCTATTGTTTAAAAATTACTTTAAAATTGACTAAAACATGTCTTTGAACCATTTTTATAAACAAATTTTGATGTGCTTACTGCTTACTTAGCAAGTGAAAATAGCGGCATGCATAGTTATCAAAGGACGAACGGCAAAAGTGGTCAGTACCACCAATCACTAAGTAATCAACGTGAGATAAGTTAAAAAGTGAACAATATATATAGCTTGAAAAGTTATTATTTGAAGGTCAAATGATTAAACATAACTCAACTAATCAAGTAATCAAGCGTCAATCTAAATTTAGTTTAAGTAGTTAAGACACTATCTCTGACTAAAAGATTGTTTTTTAATCTATATCTTTACTTCATTGAATTCAATCAGTTATTGAAAACAATTACATTTTTCTTAATTGAAAAAGAGACAACGAGAAATAGGAAATAGAAAATGTGAAACGAGATCAAGCCAGAAAAAGAAATAAAAATAAAAATGCTATTCAAAAAGTTCTTAAGATCCTCACCAACGACATCTTCCCATGACATTGTTTACTTTTGTTTCTCTTTTATCAATTTTCTTTATTCTTAATTTTTCTAATTTTATAATCAAAATAAATCAATATATTCACACTTTGGTAAACAACGCACTATTTTATATATTAGTTTTACGTATAAAATAAATCTCAGTTAAATTGTACAGTGTCTTCATTTATTTTCAATAGAAATTTAGAGCTCAATCTTCCATTTATTTAACTTTCTGCAACAGTTCTAAATATTTGTTTTTAGTGAGTTTTCTCCTTCTATATATTTATTGGATTGATTTTTTTTTAGCATTTTGGTTCATAAATTATCTTTAAATTAATGTCGGGAGTGACAACCGAATAGGAAACGTGGAAAGTTCATAGAGCAATATATGGTAGCCAACTACAGACGTACGACCAACAGACGAAGTGACACTGATTCTAGTAGAGACGTACATGCAAGAACGTAGCATGTCTTGCTACGAGGTGCAGCGATCAAGTGACGGGGATGCTACCACTGAGTCGAAAATGTCCCCTAACAGTAGCTCATAAACAAATACCATGCATCATCTCTGATCGGCTCCAACACCTATAAAAGAGAAGAGATACCATGACCACAAAGTAAGTAAAATTTGTCACTAAATATTAAGGTGTTTACCGTTTTTCTCCTACAACTATTAACTTGATCTTCGAAGGACATTAGATAGAGCATCGCACCGGTATCGAGATTTATTGTTGCCAGGTTGAGCTTGTCTTCTTAAAAATTCCTTCTTTAAAAATATAAAATTGAATCTAAAAATTATGCTATTTAAAGGGGAAAAAAACCAAAAATTCAAACTTTTTTGTTATTATGCTATCTATATAACTTTCCCCCGTATTTGTATTATTTATATTTTACCAAAACTGTAAGAAAACTTTCACTTTATAGCATAAAATCAATATTTATTTCAAGAAAATGTCACAACTTTTAATTTTCTTTTTCCAAATATAGCTTAAGTTTGATCTTGATTATGTTATTTGAAAAAAAAAATTATGAACTATTGTATATCTATAAATACATATTTATTTTATAATATTTAAGTAAATATCTCAACTTTGAATAATTTTTCTTTCTTTTAGAGATCTTGAAACTTTATGTGAGCGGTCAACCTAGCTCAATTTAATCAAATAGATATTAATAATATCTTTCATTTTTTCCGGAGGAATATAACATTTTTCATGAATCGTTCAAATATACCTCCTTTAGAATTATACAATACTTATTACAAGATTACAATTATTGTTGACGCAAAAATTTGGTCCTTTTGTCCAAATCTTCAAAAATAAAAAGGGAGTGTTTCAAAAAAAAAAAAAGAATAAAAAATGATTTAAAAGACCCAATGAACCACATACTCCGATGCTTAAATCAGAATTGGAGTTTTATGCTGAACATGACAGATAATAAAAATTTGTAGCGTATCTTTATGAGTATTTTTCTTATATTTATAGAGAGAAAATAAATAGAAGAGAAAATCCTAAGACGATCAGGATATCGTCTCATTTCGAATTCTAGAGAATTCAAGTCGTAGAAAATAGGTATTTTTCCTATCTACCATACCAATTCATATCGATGAGGGAAATTAAATCATACTCAAATGACTTGAAATGATTTATTTAATAAAGTATATAATAAATATATGATAAGCTTATAATAAAATCAGAATCCGGGAGGGAGACATTTATAGAGAGAAATGTAACCAACGATAGTTTGAAGGCCATGTCTGTCCACAGCCGCCTTAACATTTCTAAAACCATCTCCGTACTCTTCGCACGCCTCCGTCTCAATATCCCGCTTGTAACTCTTTATTAGTTTCTTCACAAACTCGCCGCCGCCGCCGCCACCGCCGCCGGAGCCGGAGCTGGAGCTCTCCGCCTCAATCCAGTTCAGCCACTCGTAAGCTATAACTTGGCAAATACCTTCCTCTAGGGGTCCTTCCATTAATGGAAGTCCTATATTTATATTTATATTAATTTAATTTAATTAATTAATCATTAATACATTAAATTACATGCTTAATTAATTAATTAATTAATTAATTAATTAATTACCTTGGACTCTAAACCAAGCATGCAGCAACTCATGAGCCATGAGCGATCCAGTTTTAACCCTACAAAAATTAAAACCCAAATTTTAATTAATAATTTCATTTTGTGGACTTCCAAGAAAAGTCGGGCAAATTAATTAATTAGTACATTGGCAAACCAAATAAAACAGCTGTTTTGTGACTATTCCCATTTGCTGTATCTTTCACCACTTCCATTTGATTTCCCCTTCTCCGAGCATTCTTCACCTATAAATAAACCCAAAAAAAAAAAAAAAACTGTATATAGCAAAATGATAATAAATAAATAAATAACATATACGATCAATATGAACTTAACCAAGCGGTACATACTCACATATTCAATGGGTCGGTCTCTTTTTATAGTCAAAGCCCACACAGTGGGCCTATTAGTATGCATGGGCTATATAAAGGTGGACAAATTAAGTTAAATTATACATAAAATTAAAAGACATACAAGGGTGTAATTAATAAAGTTGAAAATTTAATTTAATTAAAAACTTACCACTGTAGATTCTCTGGATAAAAGATTAGTGACTTGGAATGCATCGATCAAGTAGGAGGGAACGTAGCGTTTGAACTGCAAGCCCAAGGAGGTAAAAAATTCATGGCATTTTTGGACCACCAGTTGAAAATTTTGGTCATCAAAGATTGCAGTTTGGTAACAATCGGGGCATACCCATCGCATGTCACCAAGTCCTACGTATTCGACTCCGTCACCCTACATAATTTTTGAGTAATTCTTGAGAATTAATTATTAAAGATGAATAAATCATCACTCAACTCAAAAATTTAAGTTGATAGATCATGCCACCGCACTACATGTATATTAAAAGAAATTAAAATGGGTACGAAATAGTGTTTTAAAATAGTCGTTCGTAACCTGCAAACGGAAGCAGCCGCAGCACATAGGAGTATTGTCGTGTAAATGAGACGGGCAGTATTTGTGGTCCCAAATCTCTTTCATTACATACGGTTCCCTAAACTGTAATTTCACACCAAAATTAACCAACTGTTACTTTAATTTAATTTCAGACTAGGGGAAAAAAAATTCTTACTGTTCGGCAACAAACATCACAAGCTGGCCGTCTATCTCCCATATCACCTTATATATCTGGAATGGATAATTTATTAAAAATAATATTACTTAATTTTGAGGGGAAGAAATGTAATTTGCAAATTTGGTTTTTTTGATGGGAGCTGTGGAGAATCATGTGTATTTTATACTGCAAAATTAAAGAGGTTTATTAATTAAATAGACACATCCTAATTTATTAATTTATTACAAATCTTTAAGTTTATGCACGCTGTTAAGAAATTTAATTCATGTTTATATTCATGTGGGTAGCAATTTAAATTTGCAGCTTGTGTGTTTGGAGTGTATATTTACTTTTCTTGAACCTATGATTTTAATAGAGTTATTAATTTCTTTGATTTTTATGTGATATGAAGTGACAGATAAGTGGACCGTAATAAACTATAAAGGGAACCTTACAAGGCAACCCACGAAGGTCGAACCGAGTCGAGCAGGACTCGGTTCTGATCCTTGCTCCGTGTTGAGCTGGACTCGACCGAAGACCGAGTCTGTCCTTCCTCCTCTCCTGTTGATGGGAATGTCCCGGCCTATGGGCCCATACGTATTACGACCCAGTGAACCCGACTTGAGATGACCTAGGGTAGGAATTGGTGAAATCCTAGGGGAAGATCAACTATAAATAGGAGGGGAATCACYCATTGAATGTAAGCTGAAATACACTCTAAGTACTTTGCTTGCTTAATTATTCTCTCATAACTGACTTTGGCATCGAAGCCCGTGTGACAATAGTCACACCGTTATTTCAGGTATCCAGTCTTTTGATCATCGAGTTTGGTACGTATTTTAGAAAGAATCGAAAAGGCCAAAATCCAAGCATCAATATTCATCATTTGAATTATACTCTGATTTATAATATTAATATTTTTTTTTGTTTTAATAGTTAATATTTTACAAGTCAAAATGTATCTTAATGTTTTAAAATAGTCTTTGGTGGTACGATTTAATGTGTATTCAGCTAATTTAATTTTTGGATTAAATTTTACAACAATCTTCCGTCCATGGTAAGATTTAAAAATTAAAATGAAACATTGGAATTTACAAAGTTAATTAAATAAATTGAAGATTGTGCTTTAGATTTCTACCGAAAATAAATGAAAATACTATACAATTTAATTGAAATTTATTTTATACGTAAAACTAATATATAAAAATAGAGTTAATTGTATAGAGTTGTTTATTAATACGTTAATATATTGATTTATTTTGATTATAAGGTTAGAAAAATAAAGAATAAAGAAATTTGAAAAAAAAAAGGGAAATGTCAATGTATTCTTATGAGTGGTATTGACCACTTTTCTTCCTAACAGCCACGTGTGCCACTATTTCACTTACAGCTAGGTAAGCACATCAATTTTTTTTTTTTAAATGGTTGAAAGACATGTTTTAATCCATTTTAAAGTACTTTTTAAACAATAAAGGTATAATTTAACAATTTATGAGACTTTCGAGTAATTTAACAGAAAATAACATTTTTATATTATTGACAATAAAATTCTCGCTGGCCCTACTTTTGAGTGATTAAATTTAAAAGTAAATCTAAAAGTAACAGATTTGTTGGAACCTTTCTTAAATTTTAAAGATTAGAAATGAAATAAGTTACCAAACATATTTTGTTTATCGAGAATAAAAAATTTAAAGTTATCAAACGGAACCTTAAACCTAAATGCAACTTGTATTAGCAATTTTACACGAAAATGGAAAAAGAAGAAAAAAAAAAGGAAAATTGAGCGGCAACCGGTGATTTCACATGAAACACGTGCAGTGGCCGTACAAATTTTGATTTTTCTCAATTCGCCATCTGAATGGACATGAAACTACCACTACAGACTGGGCCGGGCCCAGTCTCTTGTTCTGATATACCTATTTCTCAAACATGTGTTTCACAATATTTTTCTAAGTTTACCATTCTAGACGTTTTTTTTTTAAATTAATTTTAGAAACTTTTTAGAATTTATTTTTAGTATTGGATTACATTCGGAACAGTAACAAAAATCTAAATTTTTTTATAAAATTTACGAGAAGTGATAAAAAATATATTATACCTTTTCTTCCGTTGAATCTTTTATTTTGCATTTCATAATCTCTATGTGAAATAGAAATACGTGGATGGAAAATTCAAATTAAAAATGATTTAGTGAAGAAAAATATGCTAAGAATTTCAATTTAGAAAAATCCACACTAACGTTTAAAACACGTGAAGTTGAATTATACCATTAATATATATATATAGTTGTATTCTACCATTAAATTTAGGAACAAGATAAAGTAAATATACACCAAGCTATTTTTATATTTGCAAAATTAAACCAGAACAAAAAGTACTTTTCAAAATTAAAAAATAATCGTTTTAATCTCTATTTACAAAAATTTTAGTACAAATTTTGGACACAAGTCCTTTGTAATAAAAGTTTTTGGGTAACATTTCAAAAAATTTGAAGAATTGAAAATATAAAGACTAAAATTAAAAAAAATTAAAAGTATAAGAATTAAAATGAATAATTTTAAAGTATAAAGACTAAAATAGATAGACGAATATATAGTATTTAAATTTCTTTTTTTCTATTACAATTATATTTATATATGGAAATACGGATCGGTAATTTTGTGCAAACTTCAAAAATAGAAAATTAAATATCAGAAAAGGAAATAGTTTATTAAGAAAATACAGCTATGTATTTATTATTTTAAATATACTTTTTAAGGATCGATGCGAAGGACAACTCAGTTTAAAGAATACTAACAAAAATGGAGTATTTTTATTTAATACAAAGATAAATACTCTCTTTAAAAAAATTGAACTTCCTTTTCTTCGAAAAGATATAAAATTGCCTTATTTTAGAAAAACAAATTCTTTTAAATTTAAAACTTAAATATAAACTAATATTAAAAAGAAGCGTTTAAATTTTATTTTAGTCTATACAAAATTATGTAATTTCGGTCCAATTTTAATGTGTTTATTTTAGTTTATAAATTTAGAAAAATAAAATTTTTGATTATTTAAATGACATACAATAAACACGTGTCTTAACTTGCTAACATATATAAATGAGACGTACATATGATAATTACGATATGTATTAGATTAGTGGAATAATTATTTTAAAAAAATACATTTTAAAAGTCGGATACCAAGCAAGACCTAAGTTTTTTTTAGGTGTTTACATAAATAATACAAAATAAATATGTATTTCTGAATATAGTATAAAATTTGAAATTTTACAAAAATAACCTAATATAAATCATGTAGAAATAAAAAAAAAATTAAATTTATACTATATTTGAAAAAACCGAAAAAATCGTAACGTTTTTTAAAATACCTATTAAGTTTATATTATTACTTAATTAGTATAATTTTTTTTGCAGAAACCCCGGGAACTGGAAAATCCAAGGCCAAAAAGGGCAGGTAAGAAAAATGGCGTTACGAAACGAACCATAGAAAAAGCAAGACCTTTTTCGTAATTTTAAATGCGATCCCGGAATTAGGATCCTCCACTGATTCTACTTGACTAAACGCCAAAACTACGAATAAAAATAATAATAATAAATTTTTAGTGAACCATAAAATAAATCATAATAATATTAACAATAATAATTTCCACTGTAATTTTATCAATTTATATAAAAAAAAAAAGAAATAGTTGATTCAAAGATAAATGGAGGGAGAAGAAGCAGAGGTCGTTTGTGAGTGGTAATTGAGCTCAAAACTAGTCTCTCCCATGGCGTTCTCTCTCCAACTTTGTCGTCTTCCTATTCGTACGGATGCGGCCTTGCCGGAGAATTTCGCCGGGATTCGAGCACTCCGGTACAGGAGGCCTCTCTCCGTGAGATGCGATGCTGATGCTTCTTCTTCTTCGCCTTCGGTGGCTGTGGATTCTGATTTTGACGCCAAGGTGTTCCGGAAGAATTTGACGAGGAGCGACAATTACAACCGCAAAGGGTTTGGTCACAAGGAGGAGACTCTGGCGCTCATGGATCGCGAGTATACCAGTGAGTCTCCACTGAATTTTACGAATTGAGGAAAAATATTATGAATTCCATGTTCTATTACCTGCTGCTCCACTTCCGATTTGGCTTCTCGAGGCCAGAAACTATGGATTAAGGGGGAAAAAGCTTTATCACTTGAATTTTTCAACTTGTTCAAAAATAAAAGTTGTTGGGTAGCTCGTGTGTACTTAATTCTATGTTGAAATTGCAGGTGATATCATAAAGACTCTCAAAGAAAATGGATTTGAGTATACGTGGGGAGATGTTACTGTGAAACTGGCGGAAGCGTATGGATTCTGTTGGGGAGTTGAGCGGGCTGTTCAGATTGCCTATGAAGCGAGAAAGCAATTTCCAGAAGAGAAAATATGGATAACCAATGAAATTATTCACAACCCAACTGTTAACAAGGTAACGATCAATTTTGTGCCGGTTTCTTTAGATGTCTCAAATTTTGAGTTTTAATCTGGTAAATTTGGTGGTGCTTGATGTGTTCTTGTCCACTAACAAATTTTTAGCATCTGTTCTACTCTCAGTCAGATGAGATTCTTTTATCACTTTCTGGGATCTCTCTCTTTTTCTCTGACTCAATTATGCATCTTTTGTATTGAGGGAGTTCGAATTTTCCACTTCTAGTTTATCGTAAACTAGCATGCTTTGTGGTCTCTCTTTTATTCGTCTAATGAYATGATATGCTCCAGCTTATTATTCCCCGGAAAACACGATCTATTTCTTGTTTTAATTTTTGTTTTCCATTTCCATCTCTTGACGAGTCTGAACTGTGATTTGGAAATTTTGCAAGATAGTCTTCCAGTTGCAGACCCAGTCCAATGAATATGGTTTTCAGTCTGGTGACTTGACTATTAGGGATGAATTAGACTTTTGACCTTCCAGTGTTTGGGGAGAATGCAATTTTCGCCCCTTTTTTTGTGGCCTCTAAGATATATCTTGTTTATTTTATTTTTAATTCTAATTTTTCCATCTTCTGTATCTGACTTGTGTGGGTAAGATGGTCTTGTCGACCTTCTAGTGTTTGGATTGGAAGCAGTAAAAGTCTTGCACCAGTACTTGTCTTTTTTTTTCCCATTTTAGATCTTCAACTTTATCTTTATTGCTTGCTGTTCTCTTCCTAGAAATTTGAAACACTACTTCAGATTTCCTTACTGTCTTTTTCCAAACAGGAGAACATCCTGATGTATGAGTCGAGTTCAGAAGTTTTAGAACTTAATTGTTTGTCGAATTTCATGGAATCCTTCATACAGCGCCTAATTTCCTTACTACTAATAGAAAATAAATGGCATTAAAATTTTCGAATTATACATGTAGCGCTTAGAGGATATGAAAGTTGAAAACATTCCACTCGAGGAAGGAAAGAAACAGTTTGAAGTGGTTGACAAGGGTGATGTTGTGATTTTGCCTGCATTTGGAGCTGCAGTGGACGAGATGTTGACATTGAGTGAAAAAAGTGTGCAAATCGTTGATACAACTTGCCCATGGGTTTCAAAGGTATTGTTTTGTTACCTTTTCTCTTCTTTGCTATACATTCTGATATACCGACAGTAATGCTATACTGCAGTTAGTATTATGTATGTTACTTCTGAGAAAAATTATCTCTTGATGTATGGTTTTGTTGTCTGTACAACTTTTGAAGGTTTGGAATGTTGTTGAAAAGCACAAGAAAGGCGATTATACTTCAATCATTCATGGTAAATATTCTCATGAAGAAACTGTAGCGACAGCATCCTTTGCAGGAAAATATATAATCGTAAAGAACATGACAGAGGTATTCCCGTTGCATTTTTCCTTGTTGTCCAGTACAGCAGTTCTGCACTTTGCTGGATGTGGAATAATGTGTATTTTCTTAATGAACATTTGCCTTTATTTAGGCAACATATGTGTGTGACTATATCCTTGGAGGCGAACTTGATGGATCCAGCTCAACCAAAGAAGAGTTTATGAAGGTATGGTTCTCATTGCTTTCAACCATAATATATTGGCATCATTCACATCTTAAATTGTAATAATTTCTGGTCTGCAGAAATTCAAAAATGCAGTCTCAAAAGGGTTTGACCCAGAAGTTGACCTCACTAAAGTTGGCATTGCAAACCAGACTACAATGCTCAAGGGAGAAACAGAAGAGATCGGTAAAGATTTGATGAAATGCCATTTATTGCTTTCCACAGAAATTTCAAACTTGTTTTTCTTAAATTTCATTTCTAATTATCAGGAAAATTAGTCGAGAGAACTATGATGCGCAAGTACGGAGTGGGAAGTGTTAACGAGCACTTCATCAGTTTCAATACAATATGCGATGCTACTCAAGTAAGTCGGTCTCATGGATGTGCTTGTGGTGTATAGCATAAGGATTTTAGGGAGAAAAGTTAGGTTTAGTATTCTACATTCTCTTATGGCATGTTGTGTGCATGCATTAAGGGAATTCGTAACATTTTCCAAAATGGTTRTTGAGAAAAGGAGGTATCCTCACTTGGGGAATAATCAATTAAACTGTCTGCTCCTGTAGAGATCCTACACTGGTTATCTTGCATACTTTTAAGTTGTCATCGACGTGTATCTAATCTTTTCTTCCCATCTATCAGGAGCGTCAAGATGCAATGTACAAGCTGGTGGAGGGAAAACTGGATCTCATGTTAGTTGTTGGTGGATGGAATTCCAGTAATACTTCTCATCTTCAAGAGATAGCYGAGGAGCGAGGAATTCCATCTTATTGGATTGATAGCGAGCAGAGAATAGGCCCAGGAAACAGAATAGCCTATAAACTGAATGTAAGTTACCATACAGATTTCAGCTCTAGTCCCTTTTGGTTTCAATTTCCCAACATTTTGTTGGTTTACCTTCCAATTTGCCATCACAATGTAAAGCCTACCTTTTCTTTCCTTGTTTACTTATAATTTTTTCGTCCTTGCAAATTTATGTTAGCATGGGGAGTTAGTTGAAAAGGAGAACTGGCTACCCAAGGGTCCTATCACGATCGGTGTCACATCCGGTGCCTCAACCCCCGACAAGGTAAACCTCACTCTTCGACTTACATGATTGCTAGTAAAAATTGTTATCTGGAATGAATTTATAACCATACCATCTCTGTATGCGTTTTGAACAGGCTGTCGAAGATGCTCTTATCAAAGTCTTCGACATTAAGCGCGAAGAAGCATTGCAGTTTGCATAAATTCATAGGTTAGTAGTTCAAATTGACTTGTTAGGGACCAGAGTTGTGATGATTGTGAATGAATGTGGAACTGAAAGGCAGTACCCTCCCTTTTATCAATCATATAGTGTCTTGTATCGGTATATTAATGATGTGCAGTAAAGATCCTAGTCTTCACAGAAACGCGTCGTGTAGTTTGGGTAGTTCATCGAGTATGTCGACCTCCGACGCAGTTGAATCGTACCTTTAATTGTATCTTGTACACTTTTTCACCCTCTGGCTACAGAGAAAATATGATTGAATCAGAGTGTTGGGTTGCCTGTTATTTATTGTGGAGTTAGAGGCTTCAAGAATGGTGTCCATGGTTTGGAAAAAGATGACTTCATAAAATCTAAGGGAAATTGTTTTTCGTTTATTTTGTGTTGAATTTCCTCACCATAAAATTGTCTTTCTGAATGATATGACCAGCGAAAAAAAGGTTTCCAACAAATTACATTCCCTTTCAAGTTAAGGTTTCTTACTTTACTTCATAATATTGTACCTTTACTAAACAAGATTTACAGAAATTTGTTCACTTTAGTTCGACTAGTTGAAATATATATCACAACTAAAAGGCCGTGCTTCAATCTCTACCAAACAAAAATTTCCATCCTACACTAAAAAAGGTACCATAGAAATTTTAACATCAACTTATCTCAACTAGTTGAAATATATTTCTCAACCAAAAATTCATGGGTTCAATCTCTACAACAATAATTTTCATCGTGCACTAAAAAAAGTAGCATAGAAATTTTAACATTCAAACTTATTTATGAAGATTTCTCTCTGTTTTTTTAGTTAAAAAACACTATTCATCCATGTACTTTCATTTGAGTAACGATTTAGTCCTAGGTTTAGGAGATAAAGGGACTTGAACCCTCACGCTTTTTAAAGTGACGTATTTTCCTCTTACTATAAATTTCATTTTCGTCGGCATTGACATGTAGAATGAGACTCTATCTTTATTCTATTCGCATCTGATTAATTAGTTCTTCAAAAGATGTATCAGACTACGTATGATGGAGTAGATGATTTGATCAATGAATATTCGATTCTTTTTTCAACTTGGAGATATTGGAATCGATTCATAACAATTCGTTCATTTTTATATTTTTATATAAAAATACACCACACTGGGTGGAAAGGAGGAATTATTGTCAATTGATGGTGGAAAAAGCAAGAAATTCATTGTGCACACAGTCTTCTAATCGGTTTGTTCTCTTCACTAATTGGTGTTAAACTTTCAAAAGTATCGATTTAGTTCCTGTTTTCAAATTGATAACAATTTAGTCCCTGAAATTTAGCATGTAAAAATTTTATCCTTGAAGTTTAAAGTTTGTAACGATTTAGTCTTTATTGTGATTTTTATTTTGGCTAAATTTCTTATACATGTAAATCGATAAACCTATGAAGGGTAAAATTTATTTATAAATTATAAAAATTAAATCGTTATATGATAAAAATCGACGCTTAATTTTGATGGGAATTTTTATTGTAGGGACTAAATTATTACAAAATTTAAAATAAAGAGACTAAATTGTTACATATTAAAGTTTAAGGACTAAATTGTTACCAATATGAACTAAATCGTTACAATTAAAAGTTCAATAAATCATTATTTTAATGAAAGCACCGGGACGAATGTATTTTTTAACCCTTTTTTTTTTCTTTCAACAAACCTTACGTAAGAGGCTAAACCATCACCAAATTTATTGAAGTCTCTTTCTGCATGATTCCAATTCTGGACGCACACAATCTTATAATCAACAAGAAAATCAGCCTCATTTCTTAATTCATAGTTGTCATCCTTTTGACACTCAAGAATTCAGATAGACTTTGCATTAATTTCAGCAATTTGTTGTCCTCTTTCAATATTATTGCGATCATTCTAGCATATAAGACAACTTTACACAAGATCTTGTTGATTGATAGAATATGGAGTAGATTTTTTTTTTAACGAATCACTGATTGATAATGGTAATTTGAAACAATAAATAGACCATACCTTGGTTGAATATTTAATTCCACTTAAAAAGAGAGTTTTTAAATCCAGAAATAAATATTTGGAGTCCAGTTATAGTTGGTATTCAAAAACCAGTACATGAAAATTTAATTAATTTGAAAGAAATTATATTGAGAACTAGAAGTAATTTGTCTAGAACTCGTGACTAAGCCTATTTGTTTTGGGTTCTGAATGCGTAACTGCTCAGACATCATCATACCACCTTCTCAATTAATTTATATATTAAATTAAAGATTGTGGTACTCTCAAATACTGTTTCAAGAATTGGATTACAATTAAATAATCTCTTTTACGATCTCAATATAACAATGCATCACTCTCTAGTATTAAAAAAACATGTCATTCACAATATTTGTTTTTATCTCATAATAAAATTAGCATTTGATCCTACATTAAAGAACTTCCTACACTTTTTTGGGCTGGAAGATAATATTTATCTTAGTTGTCCATAACCATAGAAAAAAAAGAAAAAAAAAAGTATGATGAAGCCAAATGCTCTTGGATGAGACATCAAGGGTTTTAATTTATTAAGCTTTCTATCTAATGACTCGAACTTAAGATTTGAATTAATCGTTCTAAGATAAGAACAATGTTTTTGTATTTATTTTTTACCCACTATGTTGTGTGTGAGTATATRTATACATAATATATTATATTATATACAACGATCATTAATGAGTTGCAACATGGTGATAATGAGAATTATCAATTGGTAAATCCATCCTCTAAATATATAAGAAAAGAAGAAAACCAACTGTGATCTCAGGCCAAAATTGTTGATGTTTTGGGGTGCTCCTTTCTGCGCTTGGTTGTTAAGTTGGGCAGTGGTTGCTGTGATTTTGAGTGTTGGCTCAGGAACTAGCCATCATTGTAGTTCAAATCGTTCCGTGAAGGTTCGATGATTTCAGGAACCCGATCAAGCAAACGATCCATCTCGTCTGGAAATTCAACCTTTGCACGGTTTGTCTTACCTCCGATGATCACTACCGTTCCATCTTGTATGGCCCATATCTTTAAGATGAAAAAAACAATAAACAGAAATGAATGTACCATATCTATCTTTTGTTTCCAAACAATGGGAATGTTGAGTTGAAATTTTGAAAGATGGAGAACTCTAAGGAATGTATGGATAGTAGCAGAAGAACATTAAATAATAAAAGCTGGTTCTTAAAAATGATTTCTAAAAGCGCTTTTGCCAACTAAACTGCCAAACAGCCACCAAATAAGTGAACTATACTACAAGTAGCAAGCAGATTGATTGGAGAGATGCTACAGGTATTAAATAAACCATCTTAGTGAAGATTAGTAGTAGAAGTATCATCACAATAGCTTGAAGAAAAGCATATTTACCTGTGAATGAGAGAGATAACTGATACATGTTGTGAGCATTAGAGCACCAAATCCAGCATAAACAATAGGAACTCCTGGATCAGTCTAGAGAAAAAGTAAAAACAGAAGGTTTCAATGACTATACCACTGAAATATGAAAATGTAAAAGACAGATAGAATGCAGATTCGACATATTGGAGTAAAAACTACTAAACATATATGAGTAGAGACGTTTACCTTCAACTCCAGTCCAGTGCTGCCTATAGCATCAACTATTTCGATTTTTATACCGTTGATGTCGATAGGAAGCCTAGAGCTTGGACGTCTAACCCCAACAAATTTCCCTTCCAGGTCATACAGGACAATGGATTGCAAATCACGAGCAAGCATTGATCTGTAAATTCAAGTAAGGATAGCCACAAAAAGCTTCATGATTCACCCCCCCACGAATTTGTATAAATGTTTTTGGTGTTTTGCTTGGTAAATGTATAAAGCATCAGATGACCAGAAGAGTAAGAAAAGAAACGACATACATTCCCTTTACATCGGGTGCATCGACATCTCCAACTGGTAAGAACGTCCCATAAAGCTTCTTGTCTCCATTGATCTTTAGAGGAGCCACAGCCAAGTTAAAGGGTCCTTCATCATTCTTAAGTATTTGCAGAGCCGAAAATCCCCAATCAGTCTGGTATATTGTGAAGCCTCCATACCGTAAAGGGTTATTTACGCTGATTGTTTTCCTCATCACCTCTTTCCCATTAAGATCAAATAAAGAAAGATCACTATGAAACTGTTTCACCTGTAAAATCAGACGTTGAAGACTTGGAACCCAAGAGGCAAATTAACAGTTATGTTTTTTTTTTCTTTTTCTTTTTTGATAATTTTTTTCCAGATTAGATAGGAACCGATATGGTCTTAAACAAGATTCTCCCAGTGTAAAGAATAAACAGCATGCTGTTAAACATTAAAGCTGTCAGAACTTAAGCAACAAACTGAAAAATTAAGTACTCATTTAATCCTCCATCGTTCTTTTTCTTCAGGATATAACTCTGTCACTTTTTTTTTCAACTATTAATTTCTTCTCCTCTGTATGAAACCAAGACTTACTTCTCCACTGTCATAGTAGTCCATGTAGAACTTGTTGACATGAACTTCAGTATTGAAAGCTTCAGTAGGCATGGAGAGAAATCCACTCGGATTCAGAACATCTCCAACTACAAAATTCAGTCCCTGTGGAACTGTAACTGAACCTCTGAAGCTTCCGGTTGCACTGAGGGTTGCACCAGACATTATCAAAAGCATGGCCAGATGTACACCGATGGGTGCAAATCGTCCAGCTAATCCCTTGAAGGCATATAAAGTTGGTCCTTTAATAAATACCTGCAAAATTTATGGGTGATATCATTTGTAGAACAGCACGTTCGGTTAATGGAACTTGTGCAGCTAGCAACAGGAAGAAAACAAACTTGCTATGAGAAGTGGAATTTTGAGACCACATTTAGCTAGTATAAGAGATTTCTGATTTCATTCTAACACTGAAATGAACATGCGCAATATCTGAGTTCAATGCTGATTGAGTTACTTTCCATTATTTCAAGTAAAAGAAAGCATCAAAGTTCTCTACTCTTCGACAACTCAGGTTCAATATAATTGTGATAAACTAATATAAATCTTGACTCGGGCAGTTCCTAGTGTAAAAATTTAAAAACTCTCAAGCCCTGTTCTTCAAGAAAACACATTGTACTGAACACGAATAACTATATATTAAGAAACAAGAATAGATATTGAGTTATGAGTTATAACCTCATATCCTGCTCCCATTAAAATTACTCCCAGATCTTGAACTGATGCTCTGGGTAAAGTGTCTGAACATTCCAGCTTGCGGATAGCTTCAGCAGACTGCAAAAACTTCCATCTAGACACAAAAGTTGAATGTTCACAACACAAAGTCAAGGACTCAAGGTATATGAATGTCTGTGTCAGAGAGAGAGAGAGAGATTTCTTACCTTCTTGCAACCTTGACAAGAGGAATCTGGGTTGTGTAAGTGCATGCCATGAGTGAGACCCCAAGGAGAGCTAACATCCCTAGAAAAATGGTAGATGAGTACATATGGTCAAAACCAAGTGTGAGAATCCATCTCCAAGTGAAGAATCCCCACATAGGGTTATCTTCGGGGTACTTCTGGAAATAGAAATCAGGGGCCTCCCCTTGATCGATGAAAGTACCTGCAAAAGAATGCCAAACACGGTGAGCTCAGACTGATTTTCAGTAATAGGCCATAAACAGCTGATACAGCCAATGGTGTTCAAAAGGTAACTCCCTAGTCCCTATCATTATAAAATCTCATTTTAAACCAGAATACAAATAGTAATCCTAGTACAGAGAGGAGTACTAATATCATTTGATCTAGCAAAGGGAAAGAGCTTTGCAAATGCTCTGGGTAAGAACGAAAAGACCTACCTTATCCACCATTTATCAAAGTCGAAAGCATTAAAAAGAAAACCAAGCGAAATGGGTCATACCCAGAGCCATCAGAGCAGCGATGGTGAACATTTCTCCAATAGCCAAAGGCAAATTAGACAAAGCCTCCAAAATTCTTTTGGGCAATCTCTTCACCAGCTTCGTCAAGCCACTCCCATTTCCAGACTTGACTTCGGCTTCAGGATTTCCACTGTCATCACTATCCTCCGCAAGCGGCGGCGCTGCTTCCGAGAGCACAATCTTGTTGCTGGCATTCTTCTGCTTCTTGTCCTGCGATGTCTTTGCCTTACAAGTGACGCTGAGAGAGAGGCTTCTGCTGCAGAAACTGCGAAGTTGGGCGCCGCAGGGAGTGATTTGATGTCTGAAGGCAGAGTGAAGAAAAGGGGTTCTCAGAAAAATGGTCTTAGATAAAGATGGGTTTGGGTTGTTTAGAATCAAACCCTCCATTGTCGCAGAAATTGTGAAGTGGGTTTCCACTTTCTTGCCTTGTGAGCGTTAATAACGACCATAGCTGTTGGTTTATCCTCTGAAAGAGATCTTTTCGGCTCTATAGTCTTTTTACTTCCAAGTTGCTAGACTTGCCCAATCTCGTAATCTACTTTGATCATGGAACTTATGTACATAATTCTAATATTTTATTTTAATCTAATCCAGCCGTCTTCTAAGATACAGTTATATGTGCGGTGTGGGTTTCATCTCTACTCCAATTTCGAGGAAAATTTAGTAAAAAATATTTATAAAGACAAAATCATAGTGGGAATAAAAGATTCGCGTAATACCTGAGTTTTTTTCTATTTGGGATGTAGAGTTACTCTTTTACTATAAAGTTCTAATCCACCCAAGGTTCATCTTATCTAGTCACATAACTCGACAGATGGTGTATTTGTTATTATTCGAAAGGTTGATGATTCGATTTCTCAACCTTAAATTGACTCAAAAAGGGAAAAAAAATCATTCACTTTATCAGACTAAAATTGACTCAAAAAGGAAAAAAAATATTCACTTTTATCCGATTAATTTGACTTCAATACGTACCCACTTAAAAAATGTGTTGATATACAAAATTTTCTTTTTAAGAAACACAAATTTGAAATTATTATTCATTTATTAAATAATTGATGGCAATAAGACAATAAATACTAAATAGTATTTTTTTTAATACAATATATTGGGCGAATTGAAATCACAACTTCTTGATTGGAGTTGCAATTGCTTTGGCATTGTTTTTTTTTAGAAAAATCAATTTAAGTATTACTTACTAATATGTTATGATCTCTCCAATTTGAACTAAAAAGAACGAGTTTAAAAATTAAAATAGTTCAAAATTGAAAAATGAAATTTTAGACCTTGAAAAAAAAAGGCAGAAGATTAATATTTAAATTTTCAGTCTGTGAGAGATTGTTTCACCTTATCTTTGGGACTCGGGAGGAAGCCACAGCCATTGGCGCTAAAACCATAAGAAAACCCATCCAAATCAATGGCGGTTGGAGCTCTCTCTCGGCCATTCGCCGCCATTTCTTCCTTCTCCCACTCCACCACTCGCCGTCGCGGACCTCGCCGTCTTCCCTCCTCCTTCATCAACTTCCGCAC